TGGATGATAAAGACAAGAGAGTTCCCATGTTTCCACTCCATCCTTTTTAAGTTTCCAAGACTCAATTCCAGTCAGAATCGTTGAGATATTTCAAGTGAGTGCTTAGCTTCTGTAACTTGCCAGCCTGATTCCCTATGCTTCCATTCGCGAGTGTAGGCCCATTCTCACAGAGAGCTTATGGAAAAGAGCGGAGGACAAGAGAGTTCCCATGTTTCCACTCCATCCTTTTTAAGTTTTCAAGATTCACTTCCAGTCAGAATCGTTGTGATATTTCAAGTGAGTGCTTAGCTTCTGTAACTTGCCAGCCTGATTCCCTTTGCTTTCATTCGCGAGTGTAGGCCCATTCTCACAGAGAGCTTATGGGAGAGAGCGGGAGCTTATGGAAAATAGCGGTCCCAGCAGGAATTCGCACTTGTTTTTGATCGTAAGCAACCTTATAATGAGGGTTTTTCAGGCCATAATCTACAATCGAGCAGAAAAAGACAGCGTAACCGAGTATTTGGTACCGTATGCCTCCGACGTTGTGACCTTCTCAAATGCCTATCTCCTTGTTGTACTAAACAAGAAAATCCGCCAACGAGTACTACTTCTGGTGAAATGTCGAGGTGTTCCTTTTTCGGTGAACGACTTCCGACTTGATCAGCTACCTTTCCTGCCTATCTGGGAAAAGACAGAAATATTAGAAAACTAGGAAGAAGATTGTCCGCGAAAGATATGAGACGATTGTACCTTCCTCAGGTTTTTGCATTTTTCCCTCTCCTTTCCATTCTCAAGCTTTTTCATACATCGCATAGGAGGTTGCAAAATCATCATGGTGACTCAAAATTAACGTAGAACTGAAGTGTGAACCCTTTTTCCAGACTACTATACTTACGTTGCTAGATTTCCAACTAAATGTTTCCATACGACTTCGTTTCTAACGATATTTTTCATTTAGCGACTTCTCCGAAGGTGGCTGTTCTGGTGAATCCCGGGCCGACCTATTCCGGTGTTGTCACCATTGCGAGGTGACCGCTAACGTCTACGAATGTTGAAACACTTTGGTGGAACTACTTTTTAGAATCCTATGCATTAGTTCTATGATATAACTAATAAATACTTAGTATGGAGTATTTTCCTTGGACATCATAATAGATCCTCATAAAATACTTACAACTAGTCTGTAAGCCACACACAGAATGAGTACACCATTCTTTGTACAGGTATGCCATAAACATATTAAAATCACAAGGTAATCTTGAAATAGTGACCAGCTACTGACTTGCTTATATCAAAAATTGCTCGTTATATTCTTTCATACTTTCATTATTCCCTACTTTAAGCTGATGCTCATAATTCTTACTCGGACCTTCCTTTTTTCAAGCCCCTTAGGACCAGGGAAAGAGCCCTTATAGCAACGTTGTACAACGTTATAAAGAAGTAACTGGAATGAGCTGAATTTTCACGCTCAGTGCCCAGAAAATGAGAAATCTCTCATCGACACGTTTGACACTTTGTGACGAGCAAAGCAGGATGTACTTCATGGATGGTCGGCGGTTATGAGAGCGTACTGGTTGTTACTCGCTGAGACGGGCTATCAGTACAACTCTTTATTCCAACCGGTTTGATGATTTCAAATGACTATCTAACTAAATTTACTTGATTCTCAACGCTTCAAGTGTTCCAAATACGGCCTCCTACCCTTATAAGGACGAATATAGCTTTTCTGCCTAGTAGCTCTTGAGCCATACTTCATCCTGTCCGTCACCATATCATGCTACCTACAATTTTCTATGCAGGTGAACTGAATATTCTGTTCTTTGATACGGAGACTCACAATTTCACCTGTCCAATCCCTTAAAATGTTCAGTGAGAGCGGAATCCCAATAGGCGCACTCTCATCCTCCATTTACAGTATTATTTTGTACCTGAACAGCGACGGACACTTTTCCAATCAGTTGCGATTCAGCTGGTAACCGTATAGGCAAGAGAAGTACTGAAAACCGTTGTGGAACCTCAAAGTTACGATCATCATCTATGATGCGTGTTCAGATTCGAGAACTTTTTTAGGAGCACCTCAATATTTTCTGTTTGTCATAATATGTACGAATATCGAGTCTACATAAGATTTGTCTACTGTATACCATCATGTATACTGTATGTCTACGTACTTGTTGCCCTTTTCAAAGAACGGAAAGGAGACAAAGGACGATTTTACTCACTGCTTATGGTTCAGGCCGTACTCGTGAGTAGTCAGAGAGTTATTGAAGAAGTTCTGATAGGCATACTCAGGCTATTCTACCTGACGCCCAACTGGTTCAAATCAACTAATTACTTTATTCGAAAAAGGTCGAACAAAATTATCCGACTGTCATAAGCGGCCTGGGATTTATCGTGGAACCGAGTAAAAGGGTTCATAGCGGATCAGTAGAGCAAGAATCGGTTTTGAAGAAAAATAAATGAGTATCAGGATCCGTAACGTTCAAATACTTCGGCGGTGATCAATCCCGATTCTTTATGCGCCCTGCATTCGACTTCCACTGAAACTCGTAGTGTCGTATTGAATGCATATGTGGCCTATAAAATGGGTAGTCAGACGATGCACAAGTTTATGCTTTGGCCCCTCTTAGGAATTCGGTACCAACTAACCGAACCGGAAAGAATGGAAGACTTGATCGGCCTGGCATGTACCAATCCGAGAATCGAACCCCGGGCAATATGTATGTGATAGCGCGGTAGCCACTCGGTACTGCAATATATCCAACCCCTTCCTGTACCGTATGAGCTTGAGTAGCTTGCATATGCTAGAACTCTGCTTATAAAAACAATAGTCACAAAGTATTTCCGTAGAGTTCGGCGAAATTTTCGTGCATCCGACGTTATTTCCAGTGTTTCAGAATGTTTTCGTCTTTCTCAACTCTTTCTATGTCACTCAACTAGCCAACGTGACTAATGAAGACAGCTGGTGGAGTGGAATTTATAATAGGGAACCGCTTTACTTCACTGGATTTGTAAGTATACAATACTTCTCCTTTTCGAATCTCTCATCAGTGGGGGAGTTTAAGAGCTCATAACGAAAGTGTACTAGGGGCATCTCTAAGGACTGTTTTGACGTCAAAGGTGTCGCTCAAAAGAACAACATGGTAAACAAATTTCCTTTAAGTAGACCTCAGCGAGTTATGTGAAGACTTTCACCCCCTACTAGTTTCCCTCAACAAAGGATAAAGGGTAAAGTCTTAGGTCCTTAATCAAGCCAGGGGATGCACTCACGCTTTCGACTTCCACACTCCCGAAGAGATGGAAGGCCTGGTTGACTTGGGCGGATATCGATCCCGGGTCCGATCCAGTGACCATGCATGTGTGGTAGTGTCCCACTTGCCACTACACAACCTCCCCCCATATCACAATCATACCGACGCCTGACTCTAAAAATTTTTCAACTAAATTTTCCATTTCCACAAGAAATCCGTAGAAATGAGGCAGCGCTCAACATGAAACCTCAGCACTCCGATGAATCCCTCCCCTACAACTCTAACCAACACATCTGTTTTTTTAGCTCCAATGGAAGGTACTGGGACCGTTTGATATCCATTTGGTAACACAGGTTATTAATAGAAACCTTTTCCAGCTCAACTGCTTGACATTCCATTTTGCTTTCGCTCAGACATTCATGATGTTTTTCGTCTCATTCTATCGTATGACTATTATTTCTTTTCCTATACACCATTTGAAGGTGGGTATACTTCATAATTTTCAAGTTCTAGCTGTGTGATCCCTGGTTTCTTTGAATGAGTGCTTTATTAATAACAGACAGTTGCGAGTAGCCAGTAATGATTCCATGTATACGCCTGAATAGGCCTGAATGTCAAAAGGGGGCCCAACGCTGGGCAGCTTTTCAGATCGTCTAGGGCAGTCTTATACTCACTGCCTCGACCCCCCTACTTTTCTTTTTTGCAGAAAACAACTGGAAAGACACGATTTCACTGGTCATCAGGGCAACATTCGCTTTCAGATATGGAAATTTGCCTTTCCGGGCAGTGTTGCTGTCACCGTATTCACTCCATTCCTATCTGTGTACCCATTGGTTGTCAGCCCCAGTTGGTTCTTTATCGATAGAAGTACCCACTGCTTTGATATCGCTACTGAGAATAGCATGGTGAAGTGAGCAGTCGTTTTAGAACTCCTCGTGGAAGAATCTTAACTGTTCCAGAGTAAGTATTACATCATGAGGGAACTGTATATATTCCTGACCGTATTCTTGATAGCCACCTCTTTGGTGAACTGCGTTTCTGTTATTCTCTTCTGTATTCGCTCTAAACGACATAATGACAATGCTGAAAGGAACATGTTCATATTGGCTTTGCTTGATTTTCTCTTCCAACTCACGTTCTACATACTTTTTGTGAGTTCTGTATGTTCTATGGAGTTCGGGGATAAAGGCAAGTAAAGCACACGTTTTTCTCACCTAATTTAATTGAAATGATGGAAGTTGTGGTGCAGGATAGTATGAAGGTAGCGAAGAAGGGGCAAAAATTGGCGGTCTTCAAAAAAGAGGTGATGCGATATTGGTATAAAATCATGACCAAAAGAAGGGTGTTCAGACGAGCCTTCAGTCGAGCGCTACTGGGTAGAGCTAGCTACAGTGAGCCAGAAATGCTAAAACTTGCATTTAGCTGACGCTAGGGGTCACCACTAGCTGTGAAGTTCCAACATGTGTGCTCCATTGTGAATGGTGCAGCCCAACAACACGGCCAGTTTCGGGTGTACACACCGGTCAAGCAGGTTGAGGAACACTTATTACGCCTTGTCTAATTCGAATCCACACCCAATGTTCAATGTGGTATCCTTGGAAACCTTGACTCGTCTAATAGTAATATTCAGAATAAAAACGATCGAGTGGTTTCCATAGGAGATTTGTGTAGAAAACAAAAGGTAAAGGTGATAGAGGGGCAAAGATGTCCTTGGGGTTGGTCTACCCCGTTTTAGGTGCCTCTTCTGTCAATCTGAAATTGTAGGGGCATTTCACGCAAATAATCGGCTCAAAAGATAAGCCAGCCCAAATGGCTTCATCCTCTCGATCACGGACATGGGCCCATACTAACACAGGAGGACAGCTGAAAGCTTTCTGGAGAGCGGTCCCAGCAGAATTCATATTCATCTTCGGAAATGAAAAATCTGATAATGAGAATTTTCTAGGCGATCATTTACAATCGAGCAGAAAAGGACAGCGTGACGGAGTATTTAGTACCGTATGCCTCCGACGTTGTGACTTTTTCAAATGCCTATCTTCTGATCCTACTAAACAAGAAAATCCGCCAACGAGTATTACTTTTGGTGAAATGTCGAGGTGCTCCTTTTCTCCTTAGCGACTTCGGTTTCAAAGTTTTTCTCTTCAGAGCAGGCAATTGGAAGCACTAAGAGCCCATTCCACATTGTTCACATGGTTCAATTTGTCGTTTATAGTTTATTTACCGGAGAAGCCACTAAATCCCCCACTCTCCTCCTGTACCAGTTGAGAAGGACCCGGCCTGAATTCTGCCATTCAACAGTGAGGAGTTGCAGTACTGTTGTCCGCGAAAGATATGAGACGATTGTACCTTCCTGACTGGTGGTGAGGTGGACACAGAGATCCGGGAAAGTCTACATATTCTTGTAGAGAGGTAGCGGCCAGCATGCGGCCCGCTGTTCTCTTAACGTCTGTGGAACCAGCTATGAAGGTTCAAAAGTCACGACTAGGGTTTCTTGGGTTTTTTGCACTCTTTCCTTCCAGTGCTTCAAACTTTTCCATCCATCACCTGGGGAGCAACAGAATGGTCATGTATCACCTAATCCTCCAACACGTTTTTTGTAGGCACTCAGAATGTACGTAGAATTGAACTGTAAAGCCCTTTTTCCAGGCCTCTATACTCAAGTTGCTAGAGCCCTTATAGAAACTCGAACAAATTCGTTTCTGAAGACATCTTTCATTTAGGGACCGCTCCGAAGACGACTGTTCTGGTCAATACCAGGCCCACGTATACCGGTGTTGCTACAGTCACAAGGTGACCGCCAATTTGGGAGTTTTCTGGTGGGACTACTTCTCTTTTTCAATGTATTAGTTCCATGGTATTAATAATGAATATTTGGTAATTTTGATGGACATCAGAAACATAAAACAGCTACAACAAGCCTACAAACTGCGTGCATACTTAATGACAGCATCATCTCATGTCAAGGTATGATTTAATTAAAGCTCCCAAGATTAGCCCAAAACAGTGATTCCCTATAAAGTAGCATCGAAAGATAATGACTCTGAAAAGTTGGAACCCCACTGGCAACTGGCTTATTTTTACCATCAACTGTCTGGATTCCGTCCACTACATAATCCCATGATTCTCGACTTCAGTCAGTTGCTTTTAACTGTTTTTCTGCGACTTCCTACCATATCGTACGCTTTGTTGGTGCATAAAGATAACTCTCATGCCATTTTGGTTGAACCTAATAAAAAATAATTGAAGTGATTTAAATTTTTATGCTTTACCAGTGCTCAGAAATCAAGAAACATGCATGACTTGTCATTTGGGATGTCACCAGTATAGGAAGGGCATCCCCTAATGGCTGAGATGGCCTTCTCAATTTATGTAGCCAAGACGACCCCCTGTTTCGTATTCCGCAAGTCATACCTGACCCTCTTCGTCGTCTATCATCATGTTGCATACTATTTGCCATGCAGGTGAACTGAAATTTCTGTTCTTACATACGGAGGCTCATAACTTCACCTGCCCAGTCCAACGTAAAGTTCAGTGAGAGCAAAATCCAAAAAGGCGTACTCTCATCTCCCCATTCCTAGTCAGTTTTTGTACCTTAGCTGCGACAGACTGTCTTCCTCTCAGTAGCGGCTTACCTGGTAACTGTAATGACAGGGCATGTACTGAAAACCGCTATCGAATCTCAACGTTACCGTCATCATCTATGATGAACGTTTAGATTGAAGAGCTTTTTTAGGGTCACCTCAATATTTTCTGTTCATCTCGACATGTACGAATATCGAGTCTACATAAGGCTGATTTACTGTATTCCATCATGTATACTGTATGTCTATGTCCTTATCGCGCTCTTCAAAGAACGTAAAGGAGTGAAAGGACGGTTCTATTCGTTGCTTATGTTCCAGGCAATACTGGTAAGGGCACTATCTGCTCTTCATACAGAAGCATTTTTCTTAAATAGCCGTCGGAAAGGATGAATGAATAAGCTTACCTCACTTCAAATATTTGTTTGATCAAGAAGTATTTCATCAACGCCATCCAGCCATCCAGGCTGTCTTGGAGCTTCCGAGCGTGGGTAGTTATCCAAGGAATCCGTGGGCCAGAGAGGACACCGAGGAAGTGCATATACGTCCGGAATCATTTTTCCAGAAGACCGTTTTGGCAAAGTACCCTGAAAATTCTAGTATTTGAAATAAAGCATAGTATTCATTTGAGTTTTTGCTGCCGTTCTCAATGCCATAGTTTCAGAATGTTCTTGTTTTCGTCAACTCACTGTATCTCATTCAGTTGGCCAATATGACCAGAGAGGACAGTTGGTGGAGTGGTATCTACAGCAAAGAACCGCTTCTATTCACTGGAATTGTAAGCGTGGAAGTTGTTTTGTCGCTCAAAGCCGCCCAACAGGAAGAAATTTTCTCTCCTCACACAAGCCCATGAATCCAACTCAGAATACGGGCCACTTCACAGAACTTGTTTAAGGAGGGGGTACCTTACTTGTGCTTAAACTCATTCGCCTTATGTTCTGCTGGTCTTAAGACTATTGGGAACGTAGTTGATTTCGAGAAAGAAGTCAGGATGAGGAAACGGTAGCCTCGAGCATGACTATGATCAAATATTGAAATGCTATTTTCCAGCTGAACTGTCTTTCCATTCATTTCGCCTTCGTGCAATCGTACATGACTTTTTTCGTGTCACTTTATCGTACTACCGTCATCGCATTCCCCGTGCTCCACGTTAAGGTAGGTCGAGTTCGTTGATAAGCTTTCGGGAGTTAGCTGTATTTAATTGTCTATTTATTTGTGCTCTCAAAAACATGCTCTAACCAATAGCGCGTCAGAAAAAGTCAGGAATTGGATGTAGACCCACCAAGAAAAGTATTGAAAACAAAAGAAGCAACCACTTGAACATTATGAACACTCCTAAGGGAATCTCATACAGGTGTCCCTAAGAAGTCACTCTTCAGCTAAGCATTTTTCGATTGAGGTTCTCCACGGAATCCATAGGTTCTATGAGATGGACTGGTGTTCGAACTCGACTGCGCGCAGATGAGATTTTGCCTGACATTAAGAGGATTCTCGATTGACTGCTACCTCTTTTTTAGAACCACTGAAAAAAAGATCCTCGGTCGATTCAGCGTTTTATTCTGACTATCTTTGACTATTCTCTCTATGGTATTTGATCATTTTGAAAATGCAGTCTTACTCGCTAAAAAGCCAGGGGCGGTAAGGGCAATCCACAAGAAATGCGTCACGACTGGACCAGTGACGATACTACATATTATGATTGGATATGAACAAAAAAACTTTTCAAGCTCATCGTTCATTTCTGAAGATCACAAAGAATCAAGTTGAAAACATTTGATCACCTTATCGACTGATAAAAAAGTCCACTTCTGCATCTTCTCGACAGTCGTACCGTCTGTTCCGCTACCACACCCTTACTAGTAGCCCATTTCGATTTCAGTTACCCCTCTGCCTTTAAGTAGGGTTTCTTAAGCCCATACAGATCCTTCTGCGGTCATCCATTGAGAGAGTTCGTTTTTATAGTAGCTGTAACGATTCATTACATAAATATATGTTCTGCAAATTTGCAAATCAGATGTTTCGGAGCAATTGGGCCAAAATTCAGTCATTTCATCGAAATCTTTCAGTTCGAGGACTAATAAAAAGCCATGTTGAACTTTTAGTTATGGAAATACTTTTTCCCATGCTGTGTTGCCATCACACTTCTCACTCCGTTCATTTTCGTTCACCCGATGCTGACGAAATACAGCTACTATTCAATTTCTAAATTCAACAACTATGATGTACAAACGCTGGCAGTAAGTTTCTATGACAAACTTATAAATGCAAGTTGGTAAAAATGTGATTTGGAGACAACTCTTCTCTCTACCACATGCTAAGCTCCCCCTCACTCTTTCACACTAGCGCCTAGCATCTTGGAGAGGGGTGCCCCCACAACTCCACCTCTCGTCTAAAAAATTTTCATTCTAGGGTAATCAGAATTCAACCCAAATCTTTAAAATTTCTTTTGGGCAGTATGTTGTGTTTTTTTTTACTTCCATGACCTTTTTCAGAACCGTGGACTCATCCTTACCCAATTCTTGGTATTTATGACAGCTTCATTGGTTACTACATCAGCAGTGAATGGCATATCCGTTATACTTCTTTGTATCCGCTCGAAACGTACCGATGATAAGGCCGAAAGAAATATGTTTATCTTGGCCATTCTCGATTTTTTCGTCCAGTGTTCATTTTATGTGCTCTACGTGAGTTCTAGCAGTTTACTACACCACTCGCAGGTCCTTAAGGTAACCCTATGGTATGGTAGTGACGAGAAGCCACAGAACAATACTCTGACGGATAGATTGCCTTCTCAAATGAAACAGTCCAGTCAACAAACTCCACCCCAATCTTTAATGAAGCCATTATGCATACGAACGCCACCACAATTCGAAGCTAGAGCCATTGCAAGCTAGAAGCATTTATTTTCTGAGAAAGGTTTCAAACGCTCGGCTTTTTTACCTTCCAATCCGCAGATTGATCCATGATTTCAATCACCAAGAGACAGCTCAAATTCCTATACAAACAATTCTTAATTTTGAGTTATATGACAAGTGTGTAGAGCATAAAAAGAGGCTTCGGAGAAATAAAAGGCTCGTGAATGTTTAAGAATTGAACCTGCAAATAGTAAAAATAATCATTGGGTAGGCCAGGTATCAAAAGCGAACTGCTTTTCATCAGAAATCACTTTCTTCTATGCAGTAGAGAGATGACCTGGGCTGTGTTCAGGCCAGAGATACCCCGTTCAAGGCCCTTACCCACTTTTCTCCGGGACCAGTAAGCGCCAGCGGCATTCTATTTCCCAACTTAGAGGGAGAAAAGTGCTTTCATACAAGTTTGTTACTTACAAAAATAAATCATGGATAAGTTAAGTTTATAATATGGAGAGTTAAAGAAAAGTGATCACGTTCAAGTGTTGGCCAACGAACTATAGTACTGAAATGACATCAATCTCAGGTGAAAGTAAACTCTTACAGGATAATCACTTCTGTTCTTCAGGTTATGATATATAAACGAGTGGGTATTGACGGCACAGCGGACGTTATAGTACCGTATGCATCCGATTTGCTTACCTTTTCAAATGCTTATCTTCTTCTCGTTCTGAATAAAAAAATCCGTCGACGAGTCTTTCTTCTAATGAAATGTCGAGGTAGGGTCATAGCCTAAAAAAATTTTATTGCACATTTTCTACTACAAAATTGTATAGTCTTGAATTTGAAATGAGCGATTCTATAAAGAACTCCTAATCGGTCTTAGCACGACTCGTGAACCGAACAAGAACGATTTTGTGAGCATTGATCAACCCCTGCTTGGGATGCGCCATGAATTTAATAACTCTGGTTTATTGAATTTCTACCGTACTCTGTTCAATGTTCCGACTCATTTAGCTCTTGTTAGTTTTATGGTTACTCTATTCTACTGATTTACCATTCAGGATCGGCTGTGACACCGCATAATCTACAAGCGATACCGTCTGCCAATATCATCACCGCTGTGCAGCCAACCTCATGATGTCTTACTTCGGAAGTGGAACACAGAAGTCAACTCAATCACAAGATTTCACAAGGAACTCAAAGTTGTATCTGACCTAGTATTTTTCCAAAGCAAAGCATCTGAAGACGGTCAGTACCCTTTCTCTCGTGATCTCATCTCAGCTACGTGTCCTATTATGTGTGATTTACCTATTATACGTATGATCCCAAACTGTAATCTATAGTAAGGAACAATCACCTCGTCCAAAGATTAAGGCTTTCAAACAAGAACAGCAGGTGAAAATGTGATGGTCTTGCATAGAGCGTTGTAATTGTTTAACGAGGAAGTGAATTCGTTGAGAGCACGAGCTTACTTCAGCCGTCTACCACTTCCACTCACCTTCTCAAAAGATTCGACTTGTTGAAACTTTGAAATGTTAAAAGGACATCCATGTAGAGGTTAGAGACAAATCGCGACATTCTTCAGCCGACGGCCCTTCGGATCTCTGAAATATCATAGTCGTTACCGTTATTTGTACTTCTGCAGGTTCGAGTGCACTCGAGCGTCCAGAATCGGGTTTGAAACCTGAGTCAAACACGACTCTCTCTTACTTACGCCTATCCCGTCTCTTGTTTACACAATTCTAGGCAAAGTAACTTTAATCTTCGTGCTGTACAATAACAACAATAAAACTAAACAACAAATAACAACATGCAAAGAATCTATCTACAAATTAGTCGTAGTAACAACTTCTGAACTATGTACGAGATGATTACACAATTCAACCGTATCTCTTCAAGTTAAAGTAAGACACTGAAAAATCAAGCACAGGAAGTAAGGAATGGTAGCATCATCATTAAACTAAACAAAAGTATAAACAGATCACTTAAGTTCCGTCTCATACAACCTACGATTATCCACTGTGAATTTCGCTAGCAAATTTTAACAACGAGTAAAAAAAGGCAAAAATTTACAAGTAAAACCCCAATTCAAACTGGGCTGTACAATAACCTCGATAGGACTAGAGGCCTAGGTAGCGACCTGTGGTTTTCAACTGAAAAAGTACACCGAATCTTTGACCTGATTGATATCCAAATCACCCGGTTTTACTTGACAAGTGAATAACTTTCTGAAATAAGCCAAATCCTCCGGTGACATCAACTCAATGTGTGGTCCTTTGAGATAGTGCGAATGGAACCAATCCGAGCACCTGTAAAAAAAAGGGGACCATCACCACGGCTATTACCTTGACTCCACCAAAAAACAAACGGAAAGAAGACGTACTGCTGAACTATTGGCTCGCTGTGTAACCTGATGAACTGCTCACGACATAATTCACCCATTTCGTCCACTGTACTGGCATGAGTCCAGAAGCAATCGTGTACAGCCGCAAACGTCACACCTCTTTAAATGAAATTGGACTCATTTCGATCAATACATGGAACCGTGAAGAGGTTACCTCCGCGAACAGTCAAGGGAAGTCAGCATCATGTGGCAGGAATCCAATGAATGGACCAAATTGGGCGGAAATGCGCCTACCNAAATGAATGAATGACGACATACTATTCCTCAACATTCAACAAAATCGGAACCGACCCCCGAAAAATGTAAAACCAGTCAAGCCGTACCTGCTTAAGCGACACTGGGACATGTATGACTTTTCCTTTCTTCTCCTTTGCAATCACATATGGCTGTACCACTGGCAGACCAAGAGGGGTTACCCATTCCATTGTCTGTAACAGATCTGACACGCCCTTTGCACAGTCTCTGAACCAATCCTTCAGCTTCCTAAAAAAAATCCATTCTAAAAAGTTTAGTTGGTCATTCAACAAGCGATGAAAAAAGCCACCTACATTGAACAAGTAAAAGCATCATGCAAACTGGCAAACGTTTTGTGTGTCAAGTACTGAGCGAATTTACCAGTCTGAAAAGTTGTTTTATAGAAGGAAGGTAGCATTCTGAGCGATAAAATCTCATTTAATGGAAGAAAAACGCTCACCTCTTCGTTGTCAATATCAAGAGCCTTCAATTGCCGCTTTATTTGCAATGCAGCTCCATATAAAGTAACACCGTAGACAGTCGTCATTACCGTTTGTTTAATCACCTGGATTGTTCAGCATAATCACCATGAAATGTACTGGAAAAATATCCCTTGATACCTTTCGTGGAACAGGTTGTGGCATAGCTTCTCTCAACCGTAAGGCGATTTCCATGTTAGGACCACCTTTTTCATCTTCAATTCTCTTCTGCTCAACTCTGAACATTCCATATAAGGAGCTACATCGAGAAAAAATACTGGTTATCGAATCGAAACTTCAAAGAAGTTCTACCTCATCGCTACCGATGAGTAAACGTCATTGGGTGTTTCGCTTTTGAGCAGATTCACTTCTAATCCTCCTTGTTCATCACGCCCTAATGCCGCATAGTGTTGTAGACCATTACAGCTGCCGTCTTGATGCACCGCTAGATGGCTAAAGAACAAAATAATAAACACATAAACAATTGTTGGTTGCTGAGGTGCAAACAGACCTCACAAAGTCTTCGATCTTTCCTGGAAAAGCAAGAGCATCGCGTATCTCCATACAAGCTGCTAAGGTTTGCCAAGGCTCCTCGGATTCCAGCCACCATCCTTTGCCTATAAAAGTCGGTTAAACAGTAGGTACAAATTCTTACTCCCACAATCTTCTTCGACGGCACATCAGCAAGCTGTATGATATGTTACAAGCACGAACCATCGAGCGGATGATTTGCTGAATCTACCATATCGTCCAGTTGTTGATCGGCAGCAATGAGTCGATCCTTGATGCTGTCCCTTTTCATTTTACCCGTGAGATTTATACAGTGCAGTTTCAACCAGAGGAATCCACGACTTCCCAACGGGCGACCTGAAATAGCCAGCTTCATCGTGCCTGGTGAAATCGCTTTTTTGTTGTCACTCGAGGCAAACAAGACCGTACCTTTGGCAAATTTTAGAATGCATCGATTCACATCATCACCCATATGACTAAGGTACGGTGATATAGGATAAACCCTTCCACGAAAATCCATATTGTGAGGGAAAAACAGAGTTTGTCCTCGAAAATGTCTTGCCAACACTATGCGATACTTCATCCAACACCATAGTGAATTCAGCTCATTCCTGAAAGACGTTCAAACGTATTCATAGACCGCACAAGCAGCTACAAAATAATACAGCCGAATAAACCTCGGTCAGTACCACACCTCAACTTAATAGCCTCCGCCTTTCTCTTGCTATATTCTGCATACTTCGGCTTGTCTATTGGAGCATCACGAATTTCTTCACCGAAAAACTCCTGAATAAAAACATGTTCTGATGGAATTGCAAGTGGAGAACAGCCTACCCTAGACTAGTAGAGGCACTAGGGAAGGGACCCACCACAAATTCAGGTACTTCGACGGTGTCTGATCGAAGTGGTACAGCTAGTGTGTCAAGCAGTTCGGCTTTTGAGACATCAGAAGACATTTCAAACACCTGCAAAACAGATTGAAACAGAAAAAATGGGAAATGATAGGGCCAAAAGACTGAGAGATCGGAAATCAATTCACCTGACAGAGCACCTCTAGCATAGGCTCATTGATTCTCCAAGGAGTAGACCCCAGCTGGTTGAGGGCATCGAACACTGGGCGTGCCTGTGCCCTGAAAGTAGCTAAAACAATCCAAAACAGTATCAGAAAGTAGAAGGTAAAACAGCCTGAAAGAAGGAACGACAAGAAGAGGTAAGTCATAGACACTTTTACTAAAACCTGAAGTTAATCGAGAAAGAACTGACCGTGATCTCAAGCGCTTCCGCATCTGAAAATTAATATCAATTTGCCTATACTCTTGCAAGTTTCGTAGAATGAGCGTTCGTCGAGTATACTCGGGACCTCCCAACCCTCCGTCACACCACGGTCGAGGAGGCACCTGCAATGAAACATGGTTTTTGACATCCAGAAAAGGATGCTGCGCATCCTCAAATCCCTGTACCCTCCCCAGGGGCATTCGAAAGTTTTTAGGGTTTGAAGGATGAATCACCATGCAGTCAACAGTTTACACTACCGGATAAGAAGGTATACCAAGATTTCAAGCAAAGATCAAACCAACCGTCATGGGAAGTTGATGCGTAGGGAAAACAATGGAGTCAAATGGATGTTCATCCAATAGGGCCAGAAGTTTCGAATTGATTCCCAACATTTTCGAAAGCGAAACTCGTCCTCCTTCGAATACTCGCGATTCCTCTTCGATGGCCACGTTACGCAATGAAAACGCATCCAACATTTTAGCTGGAAAATGTATCACTCTGGTCAAAAACTATCAAAAAAACAGTTATACAGATGGAAACTGAGAATAAAAAGGAAATATTAAAGCAATTGGTGAAAATGGAAGACATACCTGTGCCTTTCTTATCTAAGGCTGGGAACTTGCAAGCTTCGATAACCACTTGTGTAAGAAAATGGGCTATTTGTTGACGTGATTCTGTGTGGAGGTCTTCGAAAGGAATCTGAATTCAATAAAGCAGAAGTTGGAGCACCAGCTAAGATACTATAGATATCTTACTTGATAAGATGGATGGACACTAGCCCGTCGACAGCACTTGATCCACCATTCCCTATGGGTATGCAATCGAGCTACTTCGTCATCATCAAATAGCTCCACGTAATCGTTGAAGACCGATGACCACATCTACACAGAGTTCGAAGAGATCAGCGCAATCTATTATATCCCTAATTAAATTAATATAGAAGTGGACCAACCTTTGTTTCATCAATTCCAAGTTTCTGAATGAATTTAGCTTGAACAGACCGTGTAATTGGTGTGACAAGATCATATTCAAAAACACCAATTGGGACCAGATTCTGTCCTTGGGAACATACTGCTTTCAAGGACTCCATCACCATTTTTGCTATCTCTTCGGTTGGTACAACTCTGACAAATAACCTCACTGAAAAGAGTACACAGCATAGTGCATTTTCGTTGAAATATCACAAATGAAGGCAAATTGTTCTTACAAGGGTTCTGCGGTCGGTCATCGAGTAGTTTTTCGATGGTCGAGCGAATTTTGCTCAACCAATCCCAAGACTCTATCAAACGCTCAGCGGACATTCCAGGCTCCTAGATGAGAGAAATCAGCTCAAAAGTAAGTGCCAAGCTCAAAAACGATACCTTTTTAGCAGATCCTGTGTAATTTTCGACATATAACCACGGTGCCCTCTCTGTGGCTATCTGGGTGGGGAACTTACGGATATAAGTCTCCTTAAATAACACTTTATTACAATAAAGCCAACCATTTTCAAGTGCAGGGAAGAATGTACCTTTGGAACGTCATCTAACCGATAGGAATTGCCATGATACGATTCCCTCGGAATCGGCTCTCGTATGTGATCTAAGAGCGTCGTATTCTAAGCAAATAAGGATATGAATCGAAAAAGGCATGCTACTTGAAACATCAAGTTACCTTGTCGTATGAGGTATCGTCATGCAACAGCTTCCTTTTACCAATATCCGCATCAAGATCAGCAAGTAGGGACAACAGTTGTTCCCGCTCCGAATCAGACAGAAACAGACGAGAATTCTCCAGAGATATCGATTGAGCCTTGAAACGAACGCTAAAAAATAATCAATAGAGCGGAAGGAAAGTCAATCCTCACCAATTTCTTTAGCCTCCTTTCGAATCTTGTCAGAATTTCATCAATTTCATCAGATGACTCATCAGGAGCTCGAAGCTGTGACCAACGGTCGAATGTATTGTACAGAAGAGCTGAGGATATCCGCATGTCGTTACCGAAGAAAACCATGTGATCCCAGAGATTGGCTTAAAAGCGCTTCTTTCATAAGTAAGCCAATAAGAGCTAGTAACTATATCGAAGCCACTCACCGAAAGAGAAAAAGGTGGACAACATTTCCGGCGTATTTACTCTCCGTTTATCTTTCAGAAACGTTTCCAAGCTTTTCTGCAGAATCGTCAAAGCGAATGAGATAAACTAAACGTATTTCAAGTCACTGTAACCTGAGAA